AGCCACTGTCAGGTCCTTCAGCTCTGACTCGAGCCCATGAGTGTGCGAGTGTTGGCTGCTTGTGGGGGGCTGCTGTTTTCCCGAGAGTGGTACAAAAATCTTGAAGTCTGGTCGGGCATGGGTGAAACCTCAGTGGTACTTTATAACCTTACAGCACCCATGCAGGCATGGAAGTTCCCACGTACAGACTACTGTAGTAGCATTGGGAGTAGATGAGCCTTTCTGTGATACTATGTGGTTGGACTTAGGATCACATACCCTTCCTGCCCTAGCTCCATGTGCATCCACATGTGGCTGATGGGAATCTCATTCATCTTTCCTAGACAGATCTGTCTGCTAAAGTGACACTCTTTTCCTGTGAATGTCTCTGCATGCATTTAGGCCAGCATCTTTCTGTATTAGAGCTGAAATTGTTTGCTGTTTTCGTGGGGCAGACTCCCTTTTTCTCCTTTCTAGCCTGCCCTTGCTTTCAAGTCCAGGTGTGCTCCTGTGCAGAGCTCCAGCATCCCTTTGCCACAGCCTCTGATGTTATCAAGTTGCCTGAAGACCTGAGGGTTCTGCCCCGCGACAGGCGTTTAGCTGCCACAGTGGAGCAGTTCTTTGCCAACAGCACCACCTACAGCCAGCTACAAAGAGCGGCTTAAAGAGGGCAGGGATCGGTTGGGAAACACCGGTGCTGATTTTATCCATAAATCTGACCCTTCTCTGTTCTGCAGCAGTGTTGGGAGGGAAGGCAAGCAGCTTTCCATACTGGTGTATTATCCCAGTTAGTGAACAGCTCTCACTTATCTTCCAATATCCTCCCTTGTTCTCCTAATACTCCTTTCTCTCTCTTCCCTATACTATTGTTCATGCTGGCTTATCTTGCTGAGTCTGTAAGTACTTTGGGGCACCATGTGTGCCATGAGAGATGCCATGTACTGACACAGTATAAGATGATGCTGAAAAGAATTTCCCTTTTTTTCCCTCCTATCTCGGATTTCTTTAGGCAGAATATGGGGGTGCTTCCTTTCCAGATTCTGTCTGTCTTTCTTGCTACCTCCAGATCACATCATTGGCACTGTGACTACAGGACAGGTTTGTGCAGGGAGATCTGTCTGCCTGGGCACCCATGACTTTGCTGTACCTGTTAAATCCTGCATCTTAATGTATTCTGAGATACACTGACTCAAAGTATCATGTCAAAGGGAGGAGGTGGGATGCTCTAGCTTCAGAAGGTCTGCAGGCTCTTACTTCATCTTTCTAAGGGAATGACATTTCACAGGGAAAGAACAGAGCAAACACCACACTACTGGAGCTGTGAGGTAAGTTTGCAAAGGCCAGTGCAAAGCTTGAGGAGCTCTATCAGAAACTTGTCTGGGGCAGTTGGGAGTGGAAATTGGACAGCAGGAGACACAGCTGTGAGGTGGGGCCCTTCAGCTCTTGCATGCTAGGGACAGAAGGCAGGAGAGGACAACGCCCCTGCACAATCCCTAGCCTGCCCTCTGTACCAGCCGACCCCGAGGGACTGTCAGCACTGGCAGTGCTATCCTTACTGACTTCTTGTTGGTGGTTCGGATGACACAGCAGCGCTGCTCCTTCTCCACAGAGACACTGTAGACCTCCTTGGGATACGGCAGGTTACGGATCCGCCACTGGAAGCTGCTGAGGGTATCCTTCCTCATGAAGACAGGCTACAGCAAAAAAGTACCTTTAGCAAGGCCCCTCCAGCTGTCTCCCCTCCTCCCTGTCCCCTTCTTTCTGTACTACCTTGAGAGGCTCCACATGGGAGTTGCTCTCCCTCCACATTGGAGCATTAGAAAGTAACTCAAGAAGCTGCTTAAGGATCACCTTCCTAGAGCTAACACTGCTCTGCCTTTACCCAGGGTGCTGCCTGCCCTGCTTTGTAGGAGGCTGAAAGTGTTCACTGGGGGAATCTTGCAGTGCAGGGTTACAGGGAAAGTGGGCCTCTTCCTCACAGGCAACTAAATATTGAGCTCTGCCTACCCCAGGGACCTGCTGGATTCAGCCCTGGCTCTGCCCCAGTTTGCTGTGCGGGGCTGTGCTTGTGTTTCAGGTCTGCAGGAAAGATGGTGAAAGATTAAAACCTCTGTCCCCTGAGCCAGTGGAACATGAAGATAAAACGGGCTGTGCCATGTTAAGGAGCAGCCTGCCATGTGCTGCATGTGTTGGCCTTTCATTGCCATCACTTCGGTGTTACACCCACTGACTTGTCCTGGTACTGGCCTTCCTTTCAGCCTATGTTTTTGGAAGCCAGAATAGCAGTACAGTTTGTCTGGTTAAGAAATCTACAGATATGGTGAAGAACCCAAAAGACTCTAAGCTGTGCCTTCTTTCTACCCAGCTCTGCACTTTTGGGATAATTTGTAGCAGGGTCCTGGGCATGTTAAGGCTTGGGGCTGTGAGTGATCTGTGGTCTACTAACTACTGCTGTAAGCATGAAACTTGGTAGTTTTGGGTGTGGTGCTGCCTGCAGACCCTTATGTACATTAGAGCTGCTTTCCTTTATGAGCTCCGATTCCAGTGCTCCCAGGAGTGGTGAGATTGGCTCTCCCACTTCAACTTGCCACTTGCCAGAGCCCCCGAGGGTGTTTTTCTCTCGCCATTTTCTACCTGTGAAAGGGAGCAGGTTTTTCATTATTCTGCTCTGTAAGAACCCAGCGAATGACTGCCAAAGCTGCCCAGCAAACTGAGATGATATAAAGATACACATCTTAATTCCAGTCATCTCCACTTTGGTGTGACTGGATCTGTTAACTGGCCTATTCTTGAAGTCACACATTCTGTACCGACCGCCCCTTTCTTTTGCTGTTTGGTCCTGAAGCCACACTAGGGTTGCAACAGGTGCTGTGCCACAGCTGATGTGGTTTTGGACAAAAGCCATAATAGAAACCTTGCTGTTTTGTGGTTGCAGAAACCACGAAAAAGCATCATTTCATCCCAGCATGTGCTACAGACTCAGGGCCGGGCTCTACGAGATGGCAACCCCCTACAGAGTTCAGCTACAGCCAGGATTATTTTCCAGGGGTTATTTGTCCCTGACCAGGCAGTCCACGTCAACACCCCAGTCCTGTGAGGGCAGGCTTCTTGCTGTGCAGTTCTGCCCTGGCCCACCTCTGCTGGGCACCGGCTGAGAGCACCACTTACTCACTAACTGGCCCGTCTTCAGGGTGTACTCCTCAGCCATCTCCTTCCCATCCTCGAACAGGTAGTGGATCTTCTGATTCCCTAGGGACAAGGCAGGCGGTCAGGGCAAACAGGAA